TGAAATTATTTTTAGTAACATATTTATTAAAGCTCAAATGTAAAAAAAAATATGTCGTAATATATTTTCTGAAAACACCATCTGTCTTCAAAGAGACTGAACTTTTATTAGATCATGCACCAAGTTAATAACATGCCTTGAGATCATTTAAGACTATGAACTTAACCTGATATCCTACTGTGTGCTCAGCCTATGCAAGTTTAGCTTGCTTTTGAGAGAATGATGTGACGGCCAACCTTACTATTCCTTGAATTTCTCATGCAATTTACAACCTAAACTAATGCTTAGCATTAATATTAGCTATGTACTCCTCCATGCTGCAGACCCAGAATAATGCATGTGGGTATATGTGTATGGTAGTGATCATTTCCTGAAAACGTCCAACAGGTTGGAAGCAACCTCAAACAAAACAAATACCCACCACAAGTGTTGGATTATAGATAATGTCTGTTTGTGGTTTGAGTGCCATTCTGGGTCAGTAAAGAAACTTCTTCTCTTGTAAAGCTGTTACAGAGCTCTGCAAAGAATCCCTTGCTCCTTCCCCAGGCCATGGTTTCTGTGCTGTTCAATAAATACATTTCAAAGCCCTTTGTTGGGCACAGGCTCAACACACAGGACATTGTAGAGACCCTCAGAGGTTTCCTAGTGAGACCTTACTCAGGGTCTGAGAATCTGAGCTTGCTTTACCCAGCAGGGCTGCATAAGGGGAATGATTTGACCACAGGTGTGGCTATCAGGTGTTTGGAAGGGTCTACACTTGGCTGTGCAGTGTGCTTTGACTAGCAAGGGGGAGGTCTTTTGCCCCACCCCTTGGCATTGTTATAAAAAGCCCTTTGGAAGAGGCAGAAGGGGCTGTTGGGTTTTGATCCAGGTCCTCCCGAAGCTATCCTGTGTTCCTGTCTGTCTCCTCTTCACTATCTTTCTATCTAAAAGTTTCTTTTCCCTCTCTCCTCCTCATAGGAACCCTTTTAAAGGTGGGAGCTGGCCTCTCCCATCACACACACAGAGCAGACAGTCTATAGGCATGCCGGTAACCACTGATAGGAAGACACACAGAGAAAGAGTAATCTAAATTTGGGCTCACTCTTGGCCATCCCCAAGGGGAACTTTTGGTTTTGTTCCTCAATGTGACATTGACATGGTTTTATTTTTGCCTGTAACCAATCCACATATTGGTTTTAACTACATCTTCAAAACTGGTATAATGTTTATCATTTCAGCTTGCACATAGTGGTAACAGCTGCATGTGGCTGGTGACTGTAAAGTAAAAGAGCCAGTCAAAGACACTCACCCTAGCCCTGAACTCAGAGCCAATAAAAGAAACACACCCTGGTCCTGAAACCAGAGCCAGCCAAAGAAATACACCTTGGCCCTGAAACCAGAGCCAGTGAAAGAAACACACCCTGGCCCTGAAACCAGAGCCCCTAAAAGAAACACACCCTGACCCTGAACCCAGAGCCCCTGAAAGAAACACAGCCTGACCCTGAAACCAGAGCCCCTGAAAGAAACACACCCTGGCCCTGAAACCAGAGCCCCTGAAAGAAACACACCCTGGCCCTGAACCCAGAGCCCCTGAAAGAAACACACCCTGGCCCTGAAACCAGAGCCCCTGAAAGAAACACACCCTGACCCTGAACCCAGAGCCCCTGAAAGAAACACACCCTGGCCCTGAAACCAGAGCCCCTGAAAGAAACACACCCTGGCCCTGAACCCAGAGCCCCTGAAAGAAACACACCCTGGCCCTGAAACCAGAGCCCCTGAAAGAAACACACCCTGGCCCTGAACCCAGAGCCCCTGAAAGAAACACACCCTGGTCCTGAACCCAGAGCCCCTGAAAGAAACACACCCTGGCCCTGAAACCAGAGCCCCTGAAAGAAACACACCCTGGTCCTGAACCCAGAGCCCCTGAAAGAAACACACCCTGACCCTGAAACCAGAGCCCCTGAAAGAAACACACCCTGACCCTGAACCCAGAGCCCCTGAAAGAAACACACCCTGGCCCTGAAACCAGAGCCCCTGAAAGAAACACACCCTGGCCCTGAACCCAGAGCCCCTGAAAGAAACACACCCTGGCCCTGAACCCAGAGCCCCTGAAAGAAACACACCCTGGTCCTGAACCCAGAGCCCCTGAAAGAAACACACCCTGGCCCTGAAACCAGAGCCCCTGAAAGAAACACACCCTGGCCCTGAACCCAGAGCCCCTGAAAGAAACACACCCTGGTCCTGAACCCAGAGCCCCTGAAAGAAACACACCCTGGCCCTGAAACCAGAGCCCCTGAAAGAAACACACCCTGGCCCTGAAACCAGAGCCCCTGAAAGAAACACACCCTGGTCCTGAAACCAGAGCCCCTGAAAGAAACACACCCTGGTCCTGAACCCAGAGCCCCTGAAAGAAACACACCCTGGCCCTGAAACCAGAGCCCCTGAAAGAAACACACCCTGGCCCTGAAACCAGAGCCCCTGAAAGAAACACACCCTGGCCCTGAAACCAGAGCCCCTGAAAGAAACACACCCTGGTCCTGAAACCAGAGCCCCTGAAAGAAACACAGCCTGGCCCTGAAACCAGAGCCCCTGAAAGAAACACACCCTGGCCCTGAACCCAGAGCCCCTGAAAGAAACACACCCTGACCCTGAACCCAGAGCCCCTGAAAGAAACACACCCTGGCCCTGAAACCAGAGCCCCTGAAAGAAACACACCCTGACCCTGAACCCAGAGCCCCTGAAAGAAACACACCCTGGTCCTGAAACCAGAGCCCCTGAAAGAAACACACCCTGGCCCTGAAACCAGAGCCCCTGAAAGAAACACACCCTGGCCCTGAACCCAGAGCCCCTGAAAGAAACACACCCTGGTCCTGAACCCAGAGCCCCTGAAAGAAACACACCCTGGCCCTGAAACCAGAGCCCCTGAAAGAAACACACCCTGACCCTGAACCCAGAGCCCCTGAAAGAAACACACCCTGGCCCTGAACCCAGAGCCCCTGAAAGAAACACACCCTGACCCTGAAACCAGAGCCTCTGAAAGAAACACACCCTGGCCCTGAAACCAGAGCCCCTGAAAGAAACACACCCTGGCCCTGAAACTAGCTCCAAAGGCTAAAAAGGGCCTCCTCCACCCTGGCAGAGGCAGCTGCTCTCCCAGACTCCTTCCCAAATAAATTTCTTGAAAGAGTTTTAGGTGAAGATCTTTCACCAGGCACAGAGCAGAATCTCTTCTGGGAAGCTCCCATGGGAGCAGGGCAGAGGTAACAACTTTTCTTTGCCTGAGCAGATTGCTACCACTGCAGGGGTTTCCCCCTTAGCAGAGGGAGGCAGAAGTAACATCTTGGGCTGGAGCTGAGAAGAAAGAGATACCTCTGCTGGGAAACTCCCTTAGGTGGGTAGAACAGAGCTCAGCTGTAAGGGCTTTCTCAGAGAGGAGAAGAGTTGTCACATCCTGTGGGGAGACCATACCCCATCAGACCTCAGCTTCAGTATAGCCTGACTTCCCTACAAATCAGGATACCTTTCTCCTCACAGCTGTAGGTATCTAGGATACCTTCCCTTCATAGCTGCAGGAAGGATGGGAACGTGACTTTCCAACAAGTCGGGCTACCTTGCCCTCCAGAGCTGTAACACTGGCTGCCATAACGGACCACTCAGCTCTACACCATTTTGCTAGTACCTTGTCCTGTCAGTAGCAAAGCCCAAGTTTTTAACTTCTTTTTTTTTTTTTTTTAATATGAGAGGATACTTGCTTTATTCATTCATTCTGAAGCTGGAAAGCATATGGGTTGGACAGATAGCTATTGAGTTATCCCATCCAATTTCAGCTGCCTGATGGCAGGGATTTCTTCTACCCTTTTCAATCTCTATGTCTCATTGTGGAGAACAACGTTCACAAAATAGCAAGTACTCAAGTGGGAAAAAAAGCAAGGAATTTTGCATCTTCACATTAATAGCTTCATAGGTTAATATGTCCAGATTGGTGTCAATTATTGAATTCATCAAATGTCACTTTGTGCTAAGGCCTATGGCAGACACCAGACCCTAGGACAATCATGACAAACCCAGACCTTACCCTTAGGAAGCACACAAGGAAGCTGGATTCTTTACCAATACAGTGTGAGCGTGCGGCAGGGCCTGGACAGCTTTGGGAGTGGTCGGTGACTCCAGCAGAGGCTTTGGGAATGTGTGTAGGAAAGGTGGTGCAGGAAGGATGGGAACGTGACGAGCTAAAGCACCGTCCTCATTTACCGCAGTTAACCGACTAGCCAGCTGATCCTTGCTAGTGGGGGTGTAGGGGAGATACAGAGAAGCTGCTAGTACAACCCTGGTGTTTCAAAATAACCCCAAGGCCCAGGAAAAGCAGTGGGATCAATGAGCTGTCTTTATTACTACAGAATCAGAGAAAACACCACAACTGAATTAGGTAGGTACATGGTGGATTCAACATGACATATTAGCTATGGTTCAAATAATGTCAAGAATTTCCTTCTGGTAACATTTGCAGCAGCATGGTTTTGGAGTTGCATGCTATAATGAGAATAGCTAGAACACATTACATCAGGCTGACAGTCAATGAAGGATGGAAATGCAACGTGGCCTTCACAACAATTCCCATTAGGATAAAGCAGTTGACCTTTATGTTCTACTCCCCGATCTGAGAGGAGAAGGGAGGAAGCAGCTTAGCTGTGGTAAAACCTGAAGCTATTCTCTCTCCTTGCTTGGTAGTGGACACTCTACAGGATAAACCTGAGCGACGGCAAAGCAATGAACAGAAAGCCTGTCTAGGGGCTCCCTCCACCAATGTTTGCTCAGGGTATCCCCACCAAGCTTTACACATTGAAAAGAACACCACTTGCCAAACTGAACCCCAACTTGGTCCTTACAGTATGCAGTTGATCTAAAATGCAGTGTGACACCGGCATGCACAATTATATCAGAATCACAAATAAGCGACTTTAATAGATTTATGAACAACCTCTATGGATAACTCATCAATCAAATGTAAATGCTTGGAGAACACGATAATGGCATTTATTAGACAGGCATAAGGAGAACAGCGACATTTTATTGTTGCCAAGAGTAACAAAACACAATGGAGACAATTAGAGACCCCACAGTTACGGGTGCAAAGGAAAGACCTCATATCCCATGCAAACAAAAGGCACATAAGAAGAGCATGGGGGTCCCATTACAATCATAAATCTACGGAACCACAAACAGAATGCACCATAGTTCGGTCACAAGGAGAAATTCTTCCCTCCGGGGCTATTTTTGTTAATGTGCGTGTCATGTTTTTAAGTTGTCGGAGCTGGTCCTCAGTCAGTCTTGATGCCTTTCCCACCACTGACAAGGGAAAGTGGTCTCACTTGCTTTCAACTTAGTTTTACATTTTTGGGGATCACAGCTACTTTATCTTCCCCCCAGTTCATCTCCTCTGTGCTCTGTGATATAGCACTACGTACAGTGCCCAGAGGCTGGAAAAATGTAAGTGCGTGTAAGTGACAACAGTGAAGCAGTGGGATGTTTCTAAAATGCATTTTGTGTGTCCACTAAGATATTACTTTAGAATTTTGAGAATGTGGGAAACTAGAGGCAGTGTTAAAAGTACAAAGCCTAAAATGAAATTATTAGGTATTATATGAAGACGTTATACTCTGCACAGGGTCTGGAGATGTGGCCCAGTTGGGAGAGAGCTTGCTTTACATGCGCAGAGTCCTGGGTTCCCTCCCCAGGACTGCAGAATCCAGGTGTGATGGCACATGCCCACTAGTCCTCACACAGAAGCAGGTGGATGAGCAGACCAGCATCACCTTCGGTGACACAGGGATTTTGAGGTCAGTCTAGGTTAAAGATTCTTTCTAAAAAATAAAGAAAAATGTATATGTAATGTAAAGACATTTGTGGAGTAAGGACATTCCAGCTTGGGGACAGTGGCAGAGCACTTGCCTAGCATGCTTGAGGTGACGTGCTCTATCCCTAGGACCGCCCACCACCACTCAGAACATCATAACTAAAAAGACAATCAACAAACTGGACAATATTTGCAGTATGTGACAGGCAAAAAAGCGTGAATTTTTAATATGAAATAAACTTTCACAAGGCAGTTTTAAGCTAGATGAAAAATCTCAACTTAAAGTGGGATGTTTTCAAAAGAAGTGAGTAGTGAATATATGAGATCATGTTTGAGGGGTTGGGGAGGTTTCTCAGTAAAGTGCTCGCTGTAGAAGCACAAAGACATGGGGTGGATCGCCAGAACCCACGTTTAAGAAGCTGAGTGTAGTGGACATGCTTATACTCCCAGCGCTGGGGAGGCAGGTGGAAGCCAGTCACAGGTCATCCCTGGAGCCCAATGACCAGACAGCCGAGTCTATTTCACTAGTCAGAGACCCTGTCTCAAAAAACAAAGAAAACAAGCACAATTTAGATTTTTCCCGAGCAGTACCAGTCATGCTTGTCCTCTGCACACATGCACCTGCGGCACTGAAGTGCAGTTGACTTGGTCAGGCGTGAGGAACCGAGCCCAGGAACCCTGCATTAGTGCCCTAAAGAGCTATGTGCGGGCCGCAAGTCCTAGTATCATCAGGGTCATGGGCTACAATGCGTCTGTCTTTGTCACAGCCATCTCTTCCAGAGAGGTTCGTTTCTTGTCGTCTTGAAATATTATTTTTCAAATACAAAACAAGCACATTTTTGATATAGGCATTTTTTTGTTTCCCATGGGCTTCAGAAAGGAATAAATTCCCATCTGTGTTACCTGAGCCACAGGAGGCATTACAACCTCCGTGTACGTTTGTATACTCAAGTAACGGTGGAGTGTGCATCACGGGACACACGCACGTGCCATGTCGATTGCCTGCCTGCCTTCCTCCTTCCTTCCATCCTTCTTCCTTCCTTCCTCCTTCCCTCCATCCTTCTTCCTTCCTCCTTCCTTCCTTCCTCCCTCCCTCCCTCTTTTCCTTCCTTATTTCTTTCTGTTCTTTCTTTCTGCCTATCCACCTTTCTTTTGTAATGTGCGCACATGTGTGTGTGTGTGTGTGTGTGCGTGCACACACGTGTGTAAGTATAAGAATAAGTATATGCAAACTACAGTGAATGTGTGGAGGTCCTTGGAATCTAACTCAGTTCATCAGAACATCAGACTTGCCAGTAAGTGTCTTTGCTTTTTATTTCCAGGCATAAAATATTTCACTTAGATGATTATACATAATAATGCAGGCTTTGAAACTTGGCACAATTCAGTGAGAACCTGTTGCTTGAAATCTCACAGCAGTACACAGATGAACCTGCCATTGGTTTGAGGACATTCATGATTGACAGCAGAACACACTGTGATCTTCAAGCATGAGCGACTCTTGTGGAAAACATAAAGCTGTATTTGGTTATGAATTAGTAAATCCAAGTAAATTGTCAGAATCATTAAAGAAATAAGGTTATCCAATTCTTACCCTTTTTAGTTTCAAACAAAAGTGAATAAAATCTATGTTGACTGTTCACAGATCTACACTAGGCAGAAAAGACTGCACTTCCTTCATTTTTGAAGATGCATTGGGCTGTCCTGTTTCCATTAGCTGAGATCATCCTCAACCTGAAACGGTGGGCATTTGACCTCCTGGAACTCTAGACACTCTAGCCATTGGTGCCCCCCAATGACGGGGCACAGGGGACCTTGGCATGTGTATGGAAGTCCTTGAGGAGCCAAAGAAATATGTTTAAACTAGTCTTTCCCTGAAGTTGTCAGCAGAGAAAAGGAGACACAGAATTCTAGTTCTGATCGTCTTAGGAAAGAGACAATATATAGAATGTCTTGGTGCCTCTGGAAAGCACAATAAATGTTAGACACAAAAATTGATCCCATGGACCTGTGCATCCACCTTCCACTCAGCAAGTACTCGCATGCTTCCACACTAAGTCCTGGTGACTGAAACATCAAAATGAATGGGATGAACTGCCCTCAGGAAACCTGACTTGAATGAACCTTCCTATTAGGGACATTGTCCCCACATGCTCAGGGAACACGCTCAGCATGCCTTCAGTGTTCTGCTGTGGGCATCTCAGATTTTGACTTTGAATGAAAGGCCTATAGAATGAGAGAAGGGAGAGAATGGACCTTAGTTTGTGCACTGTGGAGATACAAGTAGTGCCTCTTTGAGAAGGAGAGGCTCTCAGTTCAGGCCTGGGTGTATGGGCATATACTCACACATATATCTCTGTGCCCAACACACACTTAAGTTGAGACAACCCAGCAACCACCTGTCTCTCCTCCTTCAGTATCATGGCGGGGCTGATCTCCCTCACTCAGCTTTAATGTTCATTCTTCATGCTGGGTTTATCTGACCATTTTTTTTTCAGAAAGACTTCTACTTGACACATTGGTTAAGGTCCTGGAGTGCAGCACGTATAACTTCACCTTAGAATGACATGTTAATTTTTAAAGCTGATGAATTACAGGTTCTGTGAATATCTGTATCGTGTCACTAGATGTGACACTAGATGGTGGTATCTTGGAATCATGCTTTTCCCATTGTTCTATAACCAGCCTGGAAACTTGGTTCTCAGTAGGACTAGAGACCAAAGAAGGTAGTCCCACTATGACCAAAGAGGGTGGTCCCACTATGCGTCCATTGTTGGCAATTCGTGCCTCCCACCTGGACTGCTTCAAATCCCCCTTCCCTGACCTTCCTGTTCCATTATTTTCTTGGCATCATACCAAGTTCAAAACTTTAAAAATAAGCTTGCATTAATTATAGACTCGCATGCAGTTATAAGAAAGAATACAGAGACCCGTATAACACTAACATTCCTGGTTGTAACACCTTGCAAACACATTCTACAGTGTCATAACCAGAGTAACAACCTAGACCCAGGCTAGATTCAGAGCATTCTGGATTCCTCAGGGTGGCACTTTCACAGGATCATACCCCTTTACTGCCTATGGATTCTGATTGCTCCAACACTGTTTATGGTCTGTGCTGTTTTTCAAATTGAATAAGACTGTTCTGCATGTTTGTGTGGCTCTATTTCTGGGTTCTCTGTTCTGTCCCACTATGCCCACACCTCTTGTGACATCATATCATTTGGCTACTGTAGCTCTGTTGCACAGGGTAAATGTTCTTACTTGGTTCTTTTTGGAGGAGGTTTTAGGTATTTTAGGACTCTGCCTTTCCCTGTACCTTTTAGGATTTGCTTCTGCATGGCTGCAGAAGTCTTGCTTTGTTTTGATAAGAATGGCATTCAACCAATGGATTGGGGACAGTTCACATTTACTGTGTTGACTTTTCTGTAAGTACAGCATGCCTTTCCATTTATTTAGATATTTTATATGTTTTTTGATTGTATTTTGTGGGTTGTAGCAAAAAGTTCCTATTCATATTAAGTTTATATCTAAGTATCCATTTTCTTTGAAGTGATTATAAGTGGTTTTGAGCTTCAAATGTTTTTAAATTTTTTTAAAGTTTTATGTATTCATGTATTTTACATATACACCAGAAGAAGGGATCAGATCCCATTGCAGATGATGGTGAGTCACCATGTGGTTGCTGGGAATTGAACTCAGGACCTCTGGAAGAGCAGTTAAGTGCTCTTAACCACCGAGCCACCCCTCCAGCCCCAAGTTTCAAATTTTATTGCCATTGTAAATAAACAGAACTACAGTTTCTTGTGCCTGTTCATCTTCTCTCCTGTGACCATGCATAACCTACTGTTCCAAGCAGCTCCTATTTATTTATGTGTATGTGTGTGGTCATGAGTGTGTGGATGCACATTCATGTACAGGTGACATGCGTGTGTGAACATGTATGTACAGAGCAGGGTACATATGACTGTGTCATTCTCCAGGCACTGTCCAGTTGTTTTTTGTGAGACAGGGTCTCTCATTGTCCTGGAACTCACCAAGTAGGTTCGGCTGGCTGGCTAGCAAGCCTGGGGCTCTGCCTGTCTCTGCGTCCCCAGCAGTGAGGTCACAGAACTAGAGTCATTGTGTTTGCTGGGTGAGCGCTTCACTGAGAGTGCCAGCTCCCTAGCCCCTCTTTTTGCTTTTAAAGAACATTCCTTGTAATTTCCTACACTGATAATCACATCATGTAGAAACAAGGACAACTTAATTTCTTCCTTTTGAGTGTACATGTATGTACTAGTCAAACCGTATTTTTATGTCACTGTGACTAGATCTGAGAGGAACAATTTAAAGGAGAATTTGTCCCCTGGCTTCAGTTGACAGGAGGCTGGGCCCGTCGGTCCATTGTTTCTGGGTCCTGATGAGACAGAATGTCATAGTGGAAGGGGCAGGTGAGCAAAGTTCTTGGTTCTTGACAACTGTGAAGCAGAAGGAGCCGGGCAAGGGATCCTAGGACAAGATAGAGTTCCCAAGAACATGCCCAGAACCCTACTTCTTCCAGGTTCCAATTCTAGAAGTTTCTACCAGGTCTCCATTATACTCCATGAACCCATCTGAGGGTGAATCTGTTGAGGAAGTAAGAGTCCTCATAATCTAATCACTTCTTAAAGGCTAGCTCAGTAGCTGATGACCACTCCTTTAATACCTGAGCCTGTGTGGACATTTTGTGTTCAAACCATCTTTTTCTTAACCTTAAAATTTTTTATCTTCTTTTTTTTCTCCTCTTCCTCCTTCACCTCCTCCTCCTCTTCCTATTTCTTCTTTCTCTTCCTTCCTCATCCCTCCCTCTCTCTCTGGAGCTTTCAGTACTAAGCTTGCTAAGAGTGGTGCCCTGCATTACTTCCTTATTCTGGTCCCGAAGCAGGGAGTGTTCAGTTGTCTTTTGTAAGAATCCTGGTGGCCTAGGGTGCTGCTGTCTGTGGGTATCTTTTATCAGCTATTCCTATGCTGAGTTTGCTGAGAGCT